GACAAAGATAGTTTAACAATGATTTAATCACTTCTGTTGACATTGGATAGTTAGCCTGGGATGGGTTTATTGGGCCAGACTTAAAGCAGTGGAGGGTGCTTGGTTTTCCCATAGCTGACATTGTCCTGGTAACACTGGAATCAGTGGAGTATGTGTGGCACTCAGGAAAACTGAACATCTGTATCCCTCCTGCTTGTCTGATGCTTTCTGTTGGGTGGATGCTGAACAAACCCCGAAGGAGACAGAGTATAGGTTTGCTGATTGGGCTCACACATTTAAGCTGTAATTGCCATGTTTCTTTCTTTAGATACTTTTTAAATCTCCTTTAAGTGAAACTGGAGGTGAAGTGTAAGCTAGCATGTAGCACATTAAAACCAAGAAGTCTTTCTGTAGGAATTTTCCCTTTGTTGACTGTGTATCCTTCTGAGTCAGTAATTCCAGTTAGCCAGACTGGAAGTCTTTCCCCAACTCTTGTGACACAGTTCTTTCCATGGGCAAAGCTCAGACCCTTCAGGCCTTGAGCATAGTGTTTAATGCCAGTGGTAGTGCTTACAGTTTTCTATTAAAAATACACAAACACTGCCACTGTACAGCAAAAACTTCAACATACAGAACTTCAGCTTCAGCATGTGACAGACTTGCAGCATCCCTGGGCAGTGGGTCCCTCCTCTCCTTGTGTATTCCAGTGGTTCCAGCCATTTCCTATTGATTTTCAGTTCAAAAGAAGACTCAAAAAAATGCAACTTCATGACTAAAACTGTGTCAAAACCACAACTATCTTCTACATCTTCCTCTGCTTGCATTGCAGGTTTTTCTTTCATCCTTGTGTTCAGATTTGGGGTGTACCTCAGTTTCTTCAGCTCTGCTCTTGCCCTGTCAAGCAGTGGAGAGGGAGGAAAGAACAAAAATCAGGATGCATTTATTTTCAGATAGAGCATTGCTCATTTCTGGATGACACTGTATTGCCAGACTGGTTTCTGCTCTGTCAAAGCTGGAAGTATGTGTTGGTACCAGAAAAGCTAAATTCCTTGGAAGAATTATTTTAGGGCTTGCCATCATGCTTTCAAAACACAGGAAAGTATAAATTCTTGCTGTATTTTCATGCTGGTGGCAGCTGCCTTTCAGGGTAAAATATTTGAGCTCACTAAAATGCATTAACAAATGTCTCACCCAGTATCTAAACCCAAAACTCATCAAAGGCACTTAAATGACATTTGTAGCAAGATAATTGATTGAAAATGTGTGTATGATGTTTGGTTTAGGACAGGTTAATCTAGTTAGTGAGTTGAGGACAGGACTTGTTGGTGAAGGTAGCTCCAAAGATTTTAGCAATGTGCATTGAGGACAGATATAGTGCAGCATCAGAGCTCCTAAGTGGACCTGTATTATCTGGGCTCAGAAAGCTTCTTAATAAAAGAACACAAACTAATTTCCAAAAATGTAATTGCTGCACTTACCTTCATTTGGTGATCACTGGGTTTAAGGACATGTAGAACTTGATCATGGGAATAGTAAAATGGTTCCTGTTGTTACCTGAGTTAGACTCAGCCTGGTACTAAACCCAAGGAAGGAGGCAGCTGGAGAACACAGCCACTCTGAGCTCAGAACAGCTCCTCAGGGGCCTGTGGGGTGGTACTGGAGGGATCCACCTACACATTGCAGCAGGAGTCAGTGTGATGCCAGTGGGTCTGATTGCTCAGTGCATCTGGAATTTAGTTAGGTTGACTGGTAGTCTACAGTATCTAGAATTTTCATCATTTTTGCAAACAGTTTGTGTTTGAATTACTGCAGTTGTGTTGATGTTGGTATTGAAGGCCTTGGTGCTCCCACTGTGTGTGTGACTTCAGTGGTGATAACATGGCCTGAGCTGAGCAAACCATACTTACACGTCACCCGAATCAGAGCCCAAATGGAGCCTCTGTGGTAAATTTAGAAGTAGCTTACACCTATGGAGGGGCTTATGGTAGCATTGACTCCTTATGTATGTCCTTACAGAATGCCAGACTCAGGACTAGCAGTGAAAGTGAACTGTTGTTCCAGCTAGGAGCAGTCTCATGTTGTCTTGCTAAGTGGGTCAGAGGCAAATTCATCAGCTTTTATTGCAGCCTCTCCCTTGCCAATTTTGCTTTACATTCATGGTCATGACTCTTCAGCTGAATAACTTTCAACATTTTCCTTAGCAGAGATTTCGTGTGCAGAAAACTGCAATGCAGCTTTAAACAGAAGAAGAATAATGTATTTTGTTTAAAAATAGATACTGCTACTAGTGTCTGCCCTGGGATGGCTCTGTGTGTGTACAGTCTATGGGAGCAGGGGAAGGCTGTGCATTCCATCATCGTGGTCATGCCTTTGTGATTTGAGACTGTTCCTGTTTGAGACAAAAGTTCCCATCAGATTCCCTGTTTGGACTCCTGAAGGAGCTGGAAAAAAGATTTCCGTCTAGAAGTAATAATAGCTCAAGCTTTTGGTTTTGATCATAAACTGACATTTAAAAGTCATCTGAGGAAAGAGATTTCTTCATTAAAGTCAGGTTTTGCTTAATGCAGTTGTGGCTGATCTTTCCCATC